GGGGGGGGGTACCGTTGCAGTTACCCACAGACGCAAGACAAATGATTTACAAAATAAACTCGAGCCCATCTCCACCTCGTCTTCCTCTCAGGAATGAAAGGAAAAATCACCCTTCACGAGGCTCGAGGTCCGAGCCGTTTCAGCCTGGCTGCATAAATCGATGGGCCCCTGAAGGATGCTTGCGTGCTTGCTGCAGGAAGGCGTCAGTAGGGGGTGCTCGAGAGCCTGTCCTCCAGTTCATTCCGTAGGCCCGGGAGCGAGCCTGCTTGGGGGAGGGGGGAGTCCTCATTTGGGTGTTTGGGTGCCCAGTCATAGTGATTTATTATTCATATTCTCCTTACTGCTCATCTTGCATCCCTCTGTCAGCCCACCAGATGACACCTGGACTGGCCTGGTGAGACTTTGCCTGAGAACTTGGCAGAGCTAGGGGTTGTGTCAGGTGCTGTGTGGTCTTAACAATCCAGGCAGGATGCTATTTCTAAGACTGTTATCAGAGTATTGTATTTTCCCCTGCTGGGCATTCAAATAGTGTAAAAGCAGACAAATGCCATTATTCTTTGGTTGGGCCCAGCTCATAGTTATTCATAAAGCAAACTGGAAATGATTGAGAGTGGAATCAAACATCTTCCTTTCTGTTCCTCCATCCCCTGCCCTTATCTGACCTCCTTTAAGACACACTTGCCTCTCTCAGTCTCTGTTCCTGACAGATTCCAATCTACACTCATTCCAAAGGGAAGAAAGCTCTTCCTCTTCCCATTTGCTAGATAGTTTATCTAGGAATAACATCTATTAAGTCAGTTATGTAGTTATGACCAAATTTACTTCTTAACAAAGAATTAAATTTATATAGTAAAATTCAAAGTATTGTTGCAGAAAAATATAATTCCTGGTGCTTTAATTCCAATGACAAAATGTTTTAAAAAAATGTTTTTGTTAATCCTCACTTGAGGATATTTTTCCATTGATTTTTAGAGAGAGTGGAAGGGAGGGGGCCAGGAGAGAGAAAGAGAGAGAAATATTGATGTGAGAGAGCACACACTGCCTCCTGCATGTACCCCGACCCAACCAGGGATCGAACTTGCAGCCCAGGTAGGTGCCCTTGACGGGGAATCAAACCCATGATGCTCTAACCACTTAGCCACACCTGCCAGGGTGACAAAATATTTTTTTAGCAGGAGGAGAAATATTGACTCCATTCTGAGGAGTTTCTTATTCCAGAAAATTCCAGGCTTTCTTTCTTGGGAAGGAGGAACACTTGAAATTTCTTTTAAAGATAACTTGATAGAGGTACAATTTCCTGTGGTTTGTGACTGGATTGCACCTGTGGACTCACGGAGCTCTGCCGGGGTGGGTCAGTGTGGGCCTGGCTGTAGCACAGCCCCTGTGTGGTGGCTGAGTGGACTAAGAGAGGGGCTCTGCAGTCCCCCTGTGAAAAGGTGGCTGGACTGGCTTCAAGCCAGCTTTGACTGCGAGGATGGTGAGGAACCATTGCTCAGCAGCAAGGAAGTCGCAGCACGAGCAATCAGAGAGCTGTTTTCCAGTCCAGAGAGAGACTGTGATGAAGAGAGATGGGTCTCTTTGAGAGGTCTTTTGTTAAAAATAAAGAGGTGGGTGTGGGGTGGAAGGGTCAATGGGGATAAAAGGGGACATCTGTAATATTTTGAACAATTAAAAAGAAAAAGAAGCATGTCTTTGCTGCCCCTGACCTCAGCCAGGGTTTGAGAGTCTGCTAATCCCATAAGGCCTGAGGGCCCAGCAGTGGTTCTGTCTTTTGGAGGCTCTTTGTTTCCAGGTTTCAACTCTGGCTCCTGATTAAGCCATCTCTTCTCAGGGCAACCATGCCAGGCCCTGCTGACTGCTCCCTTGGTGAATCAAGTCCTGCCCTTCCTTGCACTCTGCATCGCTGCCCCCTTTGTCCTGGTGAAAAAGGCATTCTCACGGCCATGATCCTTCCACACTCCCACCCTGTCATACTGCATCAAACACTAGCTCCCTTCGTCTTCTAGATTCTCTCTCACTTATCTTCCCACCCTTCCCCCGCCCCATCTGCATGGTAACTTCATTTTCTACCCTCTGCAAAGCAGCTGCTGGCTCAGACTGGCGGGCGTGTGGGATTCTCAACATTCAGACTCACAGAATCTCTGTGGGGAAGGAATGTCAATGAGGCCTCTAGCCCCACCCAGCCTTGAAGTAAGAGCCCAACTTATATAAGACTCTTAACCACCCAATATTTATTGAGCACCAGCCATGTGCCAGGTGCTGTTCTAGGTATGGGGGATACAGTACAAAGAAGACATTTAGGTGTCCCTGCCTTTGCAGAGTTTATATTCTAGCATGTATGTATGGTGGGAGCAGGAGTGGGAGGTGGAGAGGGTGTGTGTACCACAAGAGGTAAAGCAATAAACAAACAACAGGTGAGATAGTGAAGATCAGATCTTATGATAAGATGCTTAGGCTCCTTGTAACCAACTACCTTTGCTGCCAGGAACTGTTTCCTCTGTAGATAGTCAGATCCTCCCTACATGATGAACCTGTCTCAGTGTGAGAGCCTCTCAGAACCAGGTAGGTTGGCAATGGCAAGAGAAATCCTGCCACAGGACCACAAAGTAACAGGCTGCAGCCTGACTGTGCTCATGGCCAATTCACAGCAACTGGCTGGAGGCTGGGAGTTTTAAGTTGCTGTTTCATCATCGATCTAGTCACTTGACACCCATCTGAGCCAAATTGCCTTTCATTTTTACATTGGTGAGGCTGTCTCCCTGAGAGGGGCTAATGGTAATTTTCAATGGTAAAATGATAAACCTTTTATTTCCTAGTTGGCCTAGTACATCTAATGGTGGTAAATCAAGATGCTGTTGGGAGAGTCTGGCCACCCCAGACAGATAATATGTGGCCCTTTGGGTGACACATACACAAATCAGAGAAGAACTGAAAGAGTAGTGGGCTGGAGCAAGACACAGTTCACTGTAGTAGTAAATTAACTTGAAAATGATGATACTCCACCCTTCCAGCCCCAGGTTACTTGACAGAGGGAGATGTATCCATGTGGGTCAAAGTACAAAAAATCAACTCCTGACTGTCCTTAAACCATCTAAGCAGTCCACCCTGATTGGAAGCTTTATAAGCCAGAGGTGGCCAAATAGCAACCCATTTGTGTTTTGTTTTGGTTGGTTGTCCACTTGGTAATTTATTTAACTTTGGACTAATTGCAGCAATTAAAATCAGGAATTTTCACATGAAATTTCAGACAACCCATACCAAATGAACCTACCTTTCTCTGTGAAACCACTGTTGGCCAGCTCATTAAAAGCAGAGAATAATCTCTGCCTCAGTGTGTTCAGGCTGCTATAACAAAAATGCCATGTACTGGGTAGCTTAAATAACAAAAAAAAATTGTTTCTCATAGTCTGAGGCTGAGAAATTTTTTTCTCAAGGTGCTGGCATATCTAGTGTCTGAGAGACACTGGAGAGCCTGGTTAATAGACATCTTCTTGGTTCATAGGTCACCAGCTTCTTGCTGTGACCTCACATGGTAGAAAAAGCAAGAAAGCTCTTGGCAGTCTCTATTATAAGGGCACTGATTTCATTCATGAGTGCTGCACACTCATAACCTAATCACCTCCCAAAAACTCCACTTTCTAATACCATCACTGGGGGTTAAGATCTCAGCATATGAATTTTGGAGTGATAACAAATATTCAGTCCATAACAGTATCATATAGTGCATTGAGCTCTCCAGTGGACTCCTGGTGGGACTTGAGCCAGCATCAGTGTAGTATCCTTTGGTTTCACAATTCCTGGCCCATCCAGGAGAATCAAAACTGTTTGAACTACCTATTATCAGGGATGATGCCATTTTTATGATCTAACTTTGAAATGCATTATCAAAATCTGTTTATGTCCCAGGGTTGATGAACTGGAATACAGCAGAGGGGTTGGGACCTAAAATAACCTTGTACAGTCCCAGTGCATTGGGTAAGATCTCTGTGTGGTTGCCTTAAGAGACCAAAATAACCCTGAACTAAAACCAAATAGATTTTTTTCCCCCTCATATTACAGTTCAGAGGAAGATGGTTTGTGGCTGTGAGGGTGGCTCTTATTCCTTCTGTCTCATTCCTTCGCCATCTCTAGGGGTTCTCCCTTATCTGTATGGCTGGCGATGGCTCATCAAGTTCACATTCCAGCCCTCAGGAAGGTGAAAAGAGGAAGAAGAGGTGCAGGTGTGGAAGTCCCACACGTCACATCTGCTCACATCCCATTGGCTAAAGTCTAGTCACAATCACACTTATCTGCAAGAGATGCTGGGAAACCTTTTCTTTACCAGGGAAGTCATGTGACCACCTAAAAATCTCCATTATTAAAGAAGAAAATAGATATAGGTGTAGCACTGAACAACTGTGCCATAATTGAGCTTATTAAACTTAAAGGAGCTTATTAATGTCTCTGTATTAAACTTTTCTTCATTCTCAGTCTTTGACAAAATCAGGCTAGTCCTTAATCGCTACCATGTCACCCCCAAATCATTAACACAGTCACTTAAACTATTTTATTGAGAACCTATTTGTTGGCCTATTTGTATGGTACCACTTTGTAGAGCTTATAGCCCAGTAGAGGAGACATGACAGTGCAGCATGACATTCACTGATCATCTTTGAACTGGGAATGGAGAGGGAGGATGGGTGAAGCCTAACTTCCAGAGAAAAGAGCAAAGTCCTTTCTCTTCTCTTAATTATACAGGTTAAAGTCTTGGAAACGGGAAATTCTTTCTACCCTCTGTCTTATGAAATCTAAAAGAAAGGAGAAATGTTTAGAACTTGTTTCCCAAATATAATACTAATAGCATAATAAAGTGTGCAAAAATAGGGGAGGTAATTAAGCCTTCCTCTCTTAACAGTTGTTCATATATTATTTTTAAGTAGGTATTTTCCCTTCTCCTCTGTCTTATCAAGTCAACGAATACACACTAAGCATCGCTACATGTTGAGCCCTGGGGTCTTTCCACTGGCGATGAGGAAGTGTAAGATAGTTTCTGATTTCTAAAATTTTATAATCCACCCTGCAAACTCTCTTTACCTGATAAACAAAAGAAGAAGAAAAAACGTCAAGAGTAAAAGGTATGCATCCTCTCCACTGTTTTTCCAGCATGTGATAGGGCAGGTCCCAGGAACTTTCTTGGATCTTAGGCCAATAAGAAGCCAAGTAACAGGTGTCCTTTATAGAATATCAGGGTATGTATGGTTGGCGAAGTGGTGCCATCTTTGGGTGCCTCACTGAAAGTTGCATTTATCCATTTGAGTACAATTGCAGTGTATAACTTGATAGCCAGAAGCCTGGAGTACTGGTCAACAGCCATCTGAATCTCCATCTATGCTGGGAGTAAGAATGGTTCTTAGCCCCCATTCATCTGTAAGGCTTCCTCACCCAATTTCCTTATAGTTGGCGAAATTGATGGTGTTTACATATTTTGTGTTTGTGTAAATGACAAACATATCATTGCAACACATCACATTTTATTCACCACAATCCATTCTTGTAAAAGTATTTCTGCAGCACTGAAAATGTAGAAACAAAATGTTATGAGAAGTAAAGGGAGGCGAAGACTTCTGCCAAGTCGAGGATCATTTCACAAACCCCTTTCCAGCTCACCCCGTTCCCTACCCCGTTGATGGCTTTGCTTTCCTATCTTCCATGTTGAACTCACTGTTGGGACATCTTTGCATATCCCCATCTAGGAGGAAGCTCTGGGATGTGTGGGTAGTAAATTTGCCCAAGCAAACTGGACTCTTCACAAGGAATCAGACGTGAGGGCTAGGATGGAAGAGCTGGCACCAGTGGAAAGCCAGGGCCAGCTCCCAAGCCCCCACCAGGGCTCTCTGAGGAAGGCCGTGGCTGCTGCCCTGGCCCTGGATGGGGAATCCACAATGGGCCGCAGGAAAAAGAGGAAGAAAGAGTCTCGCCCAGAATCTATCATCATCTACCGGTCAGAGAGTGAGAAGGTGGATGAGGAGCCTGGGGAATCAGAAGGTGGTGACCAGCCTAAAGAGGAAGGAGAAGACTTCCTAGACTATCCCGCTGATGATGGTAAGTCTCCCTTGGGCCACTTGCTTAAAGCGATGAGAAGGAAGCCAACTGAGGATCCTCCAGAACACAGACAGGCATTTGATCACTGACCTGTATTTTCTTGTTGATACTTTTCTCCTCACAGTGTTGCAGCCTTCACTCAATGAATCGACAGTATTTACTGAGCATTTATTATGTTCTCTTCTAGGTGATATGGAGGAGATCTCCACCCTTTGGGAACTCCTAGTGTAATGACAGAGACTGATTTATACACAAAAATTAGTAATACAAGCATACTGTGCTAATCACTTAATACATGTAAGATAAAGAAACATATTGTTGACTTTCATCATAATCAGGAAAATGCAAATTATAACAATGAGTTATAATATTCCCTCACATTTAAGATGACCAAAAATTGGGTAAAATATAACATCAATGTGAGGAAGTGCACATACGCTCATACACCTCAAGTGGAAGTGGAATCTGCTTTAACCACATCTCTCTCTCTCTCTGCCCCCCTTCCCCTCTCTCTAAATCAATTAAACATGTATCTTTTTAAAAGTGGGCACTGCTGTCATTAGCCCTAGCCTCAGGGACAACACTGTGATGAAATGTCCACTCTTATCATCTCAGCTTCACCTTTTTTATGCCCTGCAGGTATGTGGAACATGCCTTTGGACAGCCGCTATGTCACATTAACTGGGACCATCACACGAGGGAAGAAAAAGGGTCAGATGGTGGACATCCACGTCACGTTGACAGAGAAGGAGCTGCAAGAATTGACCAAGCCTAAAGAGACATTGAAAGAGACAACAACTGAAGGCAGAAAGGTCTGCCAGATGTCAGCAGACCGTGGGCCCCATGTGGTCCTCTGGACACTGGTCTGCCTGCCTGTGGTTTTTGTTCTCTCTTTCGTTGTCTCTTTCTACTATGGCACTATCACTTGGTACAATATCTTCCTTGTGTACAATGAGGAGAGGACCTTCTGGCACAAGATCTCATGTTGCCCCTGCCTCATTCTCTTCTATCCAGTGCTGATCATGGCTATGGCCTCTTCCCTGGGCCTCTATGCTGCTGTGGTTCAGCTCTCCTGGTCCTGGGGAGCATGGTGGCAAGCTGCCCGGGACATGGAGAAAGGCTTCTGTGGCTGGCTCTGTAGTAAGCTGGGTCTGGAGGACTGTTCTCCCTACAGCATTGTGGAGTTGCTTGAATCTGACAATATTTCAGGCAATCTCTCCAACAAGGACCCCATCCAGGAAGTAGAAACTTCCACTGTCTAAACTCCCAACACTTTATTTCTTCCTCTCGTCCCAGTAGCCTGTGTATCATCTTCCAATTCCCCTCCCTCTCATAGTTCTTCTGGAAAATGCCAGGCCACAGTGATCTACCCTACCATCTTGATGGATCTAGGAGGACAGGGAACAGAAAATCAATTTACACAAAAGTTGTCCATACAATGGAAAAACCCTTCTTCATTTCTTGCCCTAAAATGACCATTTATCTGGGACAAAGAGCTCAGTCGCATACCAATTCAGAAGACTGAAGGTGTTACTGGTGCCTGGAACCCAGGGGAGTATGTGAGTAAATGTGACAGGGACAATAAGAAGGCTCTGGGAGGACCAATAAAATAATAGATAGTGATGGAGTGAAACATTTAGGAAGCAGGCTTACCACAGTGTAGCAGAATGTAAAGATTTGTGCGCAGCACTTAGAGTTTTATTTAGCTACATATAACTGATATCCCAAAATATGAGTGGTTTAAACAAGGTAGAAGTTTCTTTCATCTGGAGGCAGACCATCAAGGAGCCTGATGGAGTCACTGAGGTCCAGGCTTCCTTTATTCCCCTGCCATTAGTGTGATGTGACCCTCATCACCTGTATCTTCAACATCCTGGTGCTGACTACATCTGCACCCATCTCATCCATATTTCTGGCAGAATAGAGGAAAGGGCAAAGAAAAGCACATTCTCTGTACCCAAGGAGGCTTCCCAGAAGTCTCACTCAACACTTCTTATATCTGTTTGGCCAGACCTTTGTCACATGACCTCACAAGCAAAAGAGGCTGCAAAATATAGTCTTTTGGGTAGTTATACACTGGGCTAAATATCGGGGTTATGCAAATTTAAGAGGAAAGAGAAGAATGGCTATTTTGGTAGGCAAATATGAATCTCAGTAATTATTTAAGAATATTCAGATCCCAAACTGCTACTATAGTTTTAGCTATTTATTTATTTAGGCCTAAATCTTACACAGAGATTTTATATATAGATACTAGCTATATATACTATGTATATACTATACATAGATATTAGTAACTCATGTGCTTTGCAATTAAATGTCTGTAATGTCATGTGGTTTCAGGGTTTTTTAGAAGGGAAGAGTAAACAGTTGAGTACAACTACATAATAGTAGCATACTTTTTTTCCTGGTAGTGAAGGTGGGACTGGGTGGTGTTATTTAATTTACTCTATAGGTTAAAGACTGTGAAGGGAGGGATTGCATCTGTCACTCCCCACTGCCCACCCCCCTTCCCTCAACAGGGGTTGGTCACCCTAAGCAGGAATAAGACAGTGTTAGCTTTCTGTTTTTTGGCAAAACCTCACTCAGAGCCTCACTTATTCAGACCTTTCTGGAATTTAACAACAAACACAGTCTTTGCTGTGCTGAGAAGACTGTCTTCCTGGTCACTGGGAGGTATAAACCAGATGAATCTAGATTAATTGATTCTGAACCTAAAAAAAAAATTCATTCCTGAAGGTGTATTTCTAATTTTTTAGAAAATTGGATCATCACAGGTCAAGCAGTTTTTGGAGGTTTGGGACCTTATAAGAATACCTGGTACTCGTTTCTTACTCATGTCTCATGAAGAAGTTGAAAGAACTGCTGTGAAGCAAACCAGACTGGTTGGGCATGCTCTCCCACAGAAGGCCAGGGACATTTGCCTAATGTTGGTGCTGAAATCCACCCTCAGAAGACAACCCCACTTTGGTATTATTATAATTATAATTATTATTATATCCTCACCTGAGGATATGTTTTTATTGATAGAGAGAGGAAAGGAGACAGAGAGAGAAACATTGATGTTAGAGAGAAACATTGATCTGCTGCCTCCTGTATGTGCCCTGACCAGAATTGAACCTGCAACCTAAGTGTGTGCTCTCACTGGAATCAAACCTGCAACCTTTTGAACCTCTAATCAACTGAGCCACCTGGCAAGGGTGACACCTCCACCTTTTAATTAACTATTATTAGTTTGACAAAAATAAAATTCTGTTCAGCATTTTTTAAGATAAACTTGGTGCTCATTGGTGCTTTTGTAACCATGATTTAATATTACCAATCTAGTGATCAAAGTTATGTATTCTGTAACAAATCAAAGTATATGTGCTTTTACCTCTGGCCAAGTTCTCATAAAAATTGAACAGCCTATTTCAGGAGTAAGGTACACTGACACCGCAAAAAACCTGCAGATGTCTGGCTGATTCACACTGAGGAATGACTGACCTTCAGGGATTCCATCTCCAGAATATTTGCTGGCCTTCGACCATAAAACCAGAATGATTCACATCAGACCATTGCTTGACTAGTTTCAAGATTCTTATCAGAATGGACTGTGCTGGTCTGCATGTAGAGAACTTTTCAACCCCCTCCCCTTGATCTCTTTGTTCTGTTTTCCTTTCCCTCCTCATAAAAACCCCTTCTTGCACTCAGATGTTAAGATTGTTTTTAAGGATTGTTTTTAAAGTCCTCCATCTTCTTAGGTCACCAGCACCTGAATAAACCTCTTTTCTTATTTACCATACCTGTCTCATGAGTATTGGCTTTCGTGGTGGCAGGCAGCTGAAGGCTGCAGGTCATTTCCCCAGTTTCACTTTTGCAGAAACATAAACAATTGAAATGAAAACAAAATAAAAGTGAAATATAATTAACATGTTCACTTTGTCTTTGTGTTTCTCCGGGACTGCTCTGAATGCTACAATTTGCAGAAAAGGGTGACTGTGGTGGCTGTCGTATACATGTACAATAATCTTAATCTAAATCCTTATGCCTCGACTCTTTCCATGTACCACTTATTGAGGAGATTTCATTTAGATGGACTGTTTCCACGGTCACATGTTTACTTAAGTCTACATTAGGAAGTTGCAAACACTTTTGTCATGCTTTTCTGGGGTTAGGAAAATCAATGGCCAAGGCCAAAAAGTTATAATCAGGACAAGAGTAAGGAGGCCATACTTTAATGGAGGAGGGTGAGGTGAGGATGAGGCCCAAGGGACACCTAGATGAAGTTGACATGGCCCTCACCCTAGTTGGGATTGCCACCTAGTGAAAGATATAGGATAAGGTACATAAAGCCTATACTAGTTGAAGGGAAAACTTAGCCAAACTGGGAGGCATGTCTTATGGGGGGTGCACCCAAATAATGATGTCATTCTCCTTTTCTCATCACATCCATTTTCCTCATATGCAACTGTAGCTCACACGCATCTCTCTATGCACAAATGCCCTTTTTCCTCTACCAGCCATAGCCCATCAACCTCTTGTCCTCCCTCTTTCCACCCAATTCCGTATCATTCAAATCCAAACAGATCCTGAACTGACAGAAATGGAACAAACAAAGCCAGAATCCTTTTGTTATGAAGAAAGGAATAGCCATATTTATCTTCACAATAAGATCTGTCTCTTCACTCTTGATTAATGGAGGCCTTTTGCCAGTGAAAGCAGTGCTTAAAGTCCATATTCATTCTCAGCACCACAACTGCCTCACTGCCTGGAAGTAGGTGATTCTAAAGACTTTCCTAAGGATGGCTAAGATGCAAATAAATACAGGTACTAGAATCTCTTTTATTTCTCCCAGGAAACAAACCTGTATTGGAGGGTGTGTCGGTGTGAGAGGGGGGAAGGGAGAGAGAAAAGAGAAAGGAAGGACAGACTACATAATAGATAAAATTATGGACATAAAACATGCAAATTTCTTTCACCACAGTGAGTCTCCAGTAATTCTACTTATGTGTCATAAAAAGTTTTAAAAATAATACTTGAGTTTTCAAAGAACTCCTTGAGTTTGAATCAAAAGCTTGAAAAACTTCCTGGGTTCCATGAGCCCAGTCTGAAAATATCTCACTCTCCTGGCTTCAGTGCACTTATAACTTCGGCTCTCTCAGGGCCACTCTCTCCTCATGGCCTCTCCACATCTTCCCAGCTTTAGTCTCTGCTTGTCCAGGTCCAATTGTCAAGAGGGAGAGCATCTGGATGGATTTGATTTTCCAGTGTGGGCAGAGGTTTGCAGATACTATGTTGGTTGCTGGACATTTTGTCCATTCATCTGTCAGCGTGCGGGTCATTAGGTATAGAAAAAAAGCTCTTTCTGTGCAAGGTTCAGCCTGGGCAATTCTTCCTCCAAGGGGGCAGGGGCTGCAAGTTGGGTGATTGACAGCCGCCACTTATAGAACACAGGGCTCCGTTTCTCCCCCCGTCCAAGCTAGCGACACTCCAGACTACTGGGAGATCCTCAGCAGACGCTGTTTCACGCCTCCAGGCCTCTGCGCATCCCATTTCCTCTGCAAAGACTGTTCTTCCCGCTTTTGATTGTCTGTAAAACTGCTCTTCCTTCAGGAGGTGGTTCCAAAGCCATCGCATCCGCGAAGACTTTCATTATCCCCCTTTTTAGGAAAAACACTCTGAGAAGTGTCCGTCTGAATTCACACTCCTCCTCAAGGAAATCTACCGAGAGATCCGGCGCTAAGCGCTGCGCGTGTGAATCTCGGCGAGAGGAAACGGAAGTGAGTCTTCCCGGTGAGCGATTCCCGTTTAGGGACTGGAGCAATCCGGCGACCGCAGGCGCTCGCGCCGCGGCGGCGCGCAGGGCGTCTGCGCATGCTCAGGGCGCCGCGCAGTTGCCCCGCCCCTTCCAGCCCCCGGGTCCGCAGGGCTCCG